TACAAAAGTATTATATTATAGTGTTTTCAAACACAATTCTGAATAGATTTTCACTATAGAGTAATATTGAAGTTAAATATTTTATTTGCTACAAGATCATAGTTAATTCACTTAACAGGATGAATTTGATGTCAAAATTAAGAAAAAAATGAAATATTAACAGTGTCTAACAGAAAAATTCATCTTATAACTATAGTCACCATTTTTCTACTTTATGCGTAAATGTTAATTATATCTTTGGCTATTTTTACTGCACACATCTTTTATAATAGAATCATTTTTTAATTAAAAAATATGAATTATTTTTTTTCAATTTTCATTTCATATACAATTATAAGTTTAAATTACAAACTGACCTAGATATGTTTGAAAGTATACTATTCTATATATTTTAACATTTCTTGATACACACACACACATACACAAGAAAAGAGTGTACTGAGGCGACTATAAAATGATGTAAGTTACTATGATCGTTCTAAAATGAAGATGTGTACTTTATATAATGAAGCACATACATGTCATATCGCTTGATTTATCATGTAAATTTACTTTTTTTTCCAGATAGAATATCAATTTACACTTGTTATTTCTTGCTTCATTAAAATGTCTGAGAGTGACATATTGTGTGAGAGTCAGGCGAACATAAATATCTTATAAATACAAAGAATTGAACCATCAGACATAACGGTGATAAATTTTATAATCGTACATAAACAAGCATACTCTGCTTATTTTTTCATTTTTTTTTAAAACATAAAATACAGTACAAAAAGAAAGAAAAAAAAGTGTATTTTACACTTTTGTTTGTTTAGGATATCGAATTTGTGGTATATAGGTTGAATTAGTGTGATTATGATTTGTCGTTGAATGATGATTAATAAACATTGTTTGATTATGATTTTGATATTCATTTGATTTACTATTTTTATTTGTTGTTACTGTTAATTTTAATGGTTTTATTTCTACCACAGCTGACAATAAAAACGCAATAAACGCAAATGATAATCCAAATGTGACTAACATAAATGATGAACCTAATTTAATATCGAGTATTTGTTCAAAACGTTCAATAATTGTTGTCAAATGATTACTAAATTTATATATTTGTATACGTGAATAATGTCGTCTTAATGAATCAAAAAATTCTAATGTTTCATATTTTTTATTTGAATTTTGATATGTTATAATAATAATTGAAAATAAAATGATAAATAATGAACTAATAATTGATAATAGACGAAGTTGAATATCATTAATCAATAATTTTTGTTTCATACTCCATAAACGTAAAATATTAATTAAAATACCAATTGATAAGAAAATAATTGTTAATGTTAATAGCACCTTTGATACGGATATATAATTTGGAGAATTACATTGACATTTTGCTAAAGATTCCTGAGATAATTCACTATCATCAGTTGATGTTGAATGAAATATACAATATCTATGACGTTCAACACTGTGACATATTTCAAAATCATTATCATTAAATACGGGTACATAATTATGACCACATTTTGTTTGTTGAGATGAACTAACCGTATTTAATAATTTTTTTGGTGTTGTATATTGTAAACAATGTTTATATAAACCAAAATAATGTGTATCTCGATGATGCATTAAATCAAAAAATTTTTCAACTTCAGCACGAATTAATGGATCAATATGATTATCAATAATTTGTAAATTTTGTTGTGGATGTAAACGAACAAATTTCCAATAGGGTGATAAAAGTGCAATTATATTAAAAATAAATGCTAATAGACTAAGTAAAATTGATAATAAGACAAATAGACGAGCAGATTTTCGACTCATAGAATAAAATCAAAAATAAGAAACACAACAAACAATAATACAAATAATTAGCCAGTGTTATAAGTCCAATATATATATATATTCACATTTTTATATTCACAAATCATTGTATTTATTCTAAGATATCAAAATTTTTTTGTTAAAATTCTTAGAGCATGTTGAAATATTTCTAAAAATGAAAAACAAAAAAAAGTATTAGAATTATAAGATGAGAAATAATTTAATTTGAATTTCTCTGTCTAAAAGAATATATTGTGATATTTAATGATAGTTCGATCATCTCTTTAAACGTGACATGATACATGAGATATCTATTGGTCTTGAAAACGTTTAATAGTGTAGTTGAGTTTTATGTGAACATTCTAAGTTTCAGGTAATACACACTTTATATTGAAAACGAAAGGTGTAATCTCATGAATATTTTTTTGCTAGAAAAAAATATATCTTTCATGAATATTTGTAGCATTTTTCTTCTGTATTTCTACGTATATGATAATTAAAAATATTTATGTGGAAAAAAAAAATCTAATTTATGTGAGAAGTTTTTTAAAAATAAGTGATGCTACCATTGTACTATTTCTAAATTATTTAAATGAAAACGCAATATTTTCATTATTCAGAAACAGATGATCCATTTCTTGTGAGTTAGATAAAAAGCAGACTATTTATTCTATGTTTTTTTTTTTTTTATTGTATCAAATGTCGATTACAGAGCGAAGGAATCTAATCGTAACGGTATAAGAATTTAGATCTCCATTGTCCACTAATTCAGCTTGTCCATTCATTTGACTATATAACATTTTCTTTTTTTTTAGTTAGTAAAAAAAATATATATATAACTCGAGAGAAAAAGGAGATAGTCATTGATGATTTTTCTTCTTAGTTATGTACACCATCAGGTTTAAAAGATTAGAAAATAAGTAAAAGCTTTCGTAAATCAGTGATGCACAAAATATTCCTTTTTTTTTTTCTTTTTTACATAGATAGAATAAAGATATTTTACCATATCTAATTATAATGGAAATGTTTTAAAATAGAATCTGAACAAATGTTATTTCGAAGTGAAAATATCATATTATTCATAATCATTATCTTCTCTTCTTTCTCTTTTTTTGTTCATCATGATTCGAATTTATTCTACACCTTATTATTATTATTCTATACACATTAGAAATTATTCTACTTCAACAAACTTTAATTTATAACCTAAAAACCAAACATGAACATTTCAAAAATAATTGTGCAGTAAAAAGAAAAAGACAACCTATATCTAAATTGGACAGGCGTAAATAATAAAAATGGATGGGTATGTACGTATGTAGTAAAGACAATCAATTTAAAGAAAAAACATTTACTTTAAATTATATTCCTCTTAGATACTTCAATAAATAAATTTGAGTGGATTCAGTTTCGATTCGTCGATACATTAATTGATTTTCCTCTTTCGCTTTCGTCAACATTTTATAGTGTCCGTATCCTCACAAACATCTTTCATTTTACTTCCAAAATGTTGTCGACGAGTGAGAAAAACGGTTAATGAGTCGATGAATCGGGATATTTGACTGGTATATAAATGTTTTTTGGATTCTTTTTTAAACTGGTTTAATATTTTCGTTATTTTTGACAGATGAACACATTAAACATACGAAATCGTCATTTCTATAGAATATATAAAGTTATGTTTAGAAAAAATAATGGTATTAACGAAAGATGACCACCAGATTTATATGTAAACGTTAGAATAGATTATCGTCTTAATTATTCAATATTGATTAAACGAATGCTATAGAATGTGTTGAACAATAGTACTAAAGATGCACTCTAAAAAAAAATGCGACTTAGGATCAAATTAAGTCGCATATATGTGTCTTATTATCACAGAATAAGGTACATATATGCGACTTAATTTGATCCTAAGTCGCATTTTTTTTTAGAGTGTGTGGAAATACAATAGTTAAATTTGAAATGATATCAGACAGATTTAAGGTATAAAAGTATCGGCTAGTCAACTATATTCGATACCAAAGTGGTCAAACACAGTCTAATATGATGAATGCACTTACTACTTCTGTATTTTTAATTGACATCTTTTGTTTGTAAAAGCTGCTGCTTTCATCTGTCAAAAAAAACTCGTATGTTTCACTAATTAGCTATTAACTTCATACGGTACCTCATATAACAAACAGACGTCTAATTATATGTATTAGAACTTGTCCGATTCCGTGTTGAGATATATATACTCAAATGCTTTACTTTATTTATCTATAACCGCACCAGCAAACGACATGTCTCCGCCTCACATAAAAAACAATTAAAAATGCGTGTTCTTACCTGTGTTTCAATTGTCAATCGTTGTTGGCATTTAAATATTTGGAAATGAGAAGAAAAAAAAAAAGAAGAAATCCTATATGTATTTCGGATGTGAGAATTATAGGTTGCAAGAAGAAGAAGAAGAAGAAGAAGAAGAAGAAGAAAAAGAATTCTCTTGCTCCCTTCTCATTGTCGAGCTTTGTATGATATTTTTCTCTCTTTTTTTTATGTTACAGTTATATATTGAGGGAAAGAAATCTTCGTTTCCCTTACAAGCAAAACATAAAAAAACTTGAAAATTACCTAATTTGAAGAGAAGTCTGCTAGACTTTTGACACATACTTTTTTGTTTTGAACATGACAAACTGATGTTATGAATATCCAGTTTACATAATTGTTGAGTTGAAAAATGTACATTTTATTGTTATTCTTTTTTATGTTATTCTGTTCACTCGACTACACTTTTCTAGTGAAAGTGGGAACCACTCGAATATCTCAGACATACAATAACAAAATCTACAATAAAAAAGATTAAAATTACATATCAAGTGCTCATAAGATAGAGTATCATATTAAATTCATTTTCAATTTACTGTACGCTTTTCGAAAGCAGAACAAAAAAAAAAAAAGAAAAAAAAAAGCAGAGAACAAAAGAAGTCAAAGATATAAATAAATCATTAATATTAAATAAAAGACATGATAAAATAAGTTTGAATTTAATGCACTTTAAAAGTTATCATCTAGCCCAACTAATGAAGAATGATCAATTTCTCTAACCATATATGTAGATTTCATAAAACTAATTGAGTGTTTGCCTATAGTTAATTTATCTTTTTATTTCTCATAACTAAACTGAGTTGAATCGTCAATTATTAATAATTTTGTTACCTAAAAACGATCATTTTCCATTAAATATAAATGAGCTGCTGATTTTAGATCATTTCTCCCGTATATTTTTTCAACAAAATAACCGTTTTCTGATTTTATCTTTTTCTTTTTTCTATGTCACTTAATGACACGCAGTTTAAGATAGAAGAGTACGCTACTCATTAATAGAAAAACGTTTTATTGATATGAATAGATATCTCGGAAATCTTCTCATATTCATATCAGAAAGAACTCCTGACATTTTTTTGTCAACTTCAAATTAAAACAAAGAATGCAGAGACATCTTATGGTTTTATTTGCTCACGATTGTTTTTCTTCTGTTATATATCCATCTGTTTGATTGAGAGAGAGAGAGAGAGAGAGAGAGAGAGAGAGAGAGAGAGAGAGAGAGAGAGAAGAAAAAAAAATCAAAGATACTCATGCATCTACCTTTTTTGTGTTGTAATTAACACTAGTCAATGGTCAAGAAGTGTGACAGCCAGTATTACAAATTAACAGACACGCCATACAACAATGGCACAAATAAAAGACATGACTACTTTGGGAAATGCTCTACTTGTATTAAAAAATATGATGAATTAACTTACACTATAACAGACATATGAGAATAACTAATAATTATGTTGAACGCAGGACAAATGCGACGATGACAAATAAGTTTTTTACTTTATTCAAAAAGTAGAATAGAATGACCTCTATTAGAACATACATATTTTTCAATATCTTCATTATAAGATGTGAATAAACTATAAGGTTCAACTTTTCTTTCAAACAGACATAATCTATTAATATTTTGACTAATAGTATATCAACAAGCCATAGATACGCAAGCATTGAAAACAATTATTTCAAATAATAAGATGTTCAAGTTTAGAGAAATTCTACAATCTACCCGTCAAAAGGTAGATTCAAGATCTATTCAGTCATATCAAATTAAAAGGAAAAGAGATTTTCCTGACCTATAAAACCTATTTTGATATGAACGTTTTCTTCTTCTCATCAAATAATTTTTCACTTTTCTAGATTTTCAAGATTGAATCCAATGTGAATAATATTCTCAAAAAACGATGTCTGCCATGTGAATATGTTACGAGTAAAAATATCAGTTCAAATATTGAGTTATTCAAGAGTTGCAGATGACTTGATGTGGTCTGTTGGAGAAATGGAAGAACAATATACATTTTTTTAGTGCTTGATAATAGCTTAAACGACTGTTTTAAACTACAATGATGTCTAAATGTAAAAACTGATCGTGACAATTATTAAGTTTCTTCTCCACTATTTATTAATGGAGTGTTACTATTGATATCAGTTGAAATAAAAGAATAACGAATGTCAGAGGCCGAAAATCTGTAATTTCTCTACTGTACAGGAGCAAATTTTGATCAATTGGTCCATTTGGATCCCAGTTATCTAAACAAAAATGTTTTCTAAGAATATTCGTTGCTATATTCTCCAGAAAATATACTTAGCTCTACGAATCTACATATTCAAAAGAAATGATGACATTTATTTGATGAACTGTTGAAGTCTTTTTTGATAATGACGTGATTTAGAACGTCTAAAAAACTCTTTAAAAACCTTCAGATATAGAAAGTGATGAAGATTCTTCAAGTAGACAATTACAGCTATACTTTAGTAAGTTTAATGAAAAAATCAAGTTTCGATTAAAAACATCGATTTTTTTTTTTTTGATAGAGCTTTTATCCCATATTTATATGTAAGATCGAAAGTTCATTTGTAGAAAAAATATCAATTTCTAGTGTTCATATACATATAAAATGATGTCCTTGTTCAGACAAAATATATTTTTTTTGTCATATTAAAATATATGTATATCAATCAAATCACTCAGGTTCGAATAGGCACGTACGTGAGAGAAGAACCAATTTATTTTCTTTTTTTGTTCTTTGTTACATCCGTCAGCATTTTATCAGTAAGAGTGTAAATCTTCTATTTGATATGCGTGTAAACTTAGTTTCATTTTTAGAATAACATACAGAAAAAACTCTAGGATGTAGATTTATTAGTCAAAATGCTTTATCAGATGGGCTCTCAAATTTTTAAAATGAATTGATTACATACATTCGCATTATGGACAAACAACTCATAATTACCTCAGCAATGGTTTTTTTTGTGAATATTTCACGATATTTTTATATTTTGTTTCTTTGATGTGTTCATACATTGTTTTTCTTTATTGTAGTACGCCATAATAATTTTGTCGTTCGCTGAGTGAAGCATGTCACCCAATTCACTTTTATGTCATTACTCAGTTACGAACTTATATACTCTGCTGTCATCCTAAATTTAAGTACACAATGAATAAATGTCTTTTTTATTTTATAAGTCAGGAAAAAAATTTATAAGATGAAAATACCCAAGAGAGAATTTACAATTATTCAACAGAAAATTGAAGATGCCAAGCAAGACTTTTTACCTCTTCCTTTATCTATGTGTATATTTATTATAACATGAATAAAGTGAATAATACAACATATCCGGGACATCATTTTTTTATCTTGATTAATAATTGATTTCTAAACTGTGTGGAAACTATCTAAAAATAACCGGATTTTGTTTGCTAAGCATTTAACATTTATATAGAACTCATCCAGGGTGCCCAGCATTTAGTAATTTCAATGATACATTATTACACTAAACTAATATGAAACTTCTTTTCGTATGAGGAAGACGAAGATTTAGTTGTGCAATAATGTGACTGATAACTTCTTTTTTCAAATTTTTATTAGCTACTGCATCTATACTGACGTCATTATTATAGGATTCTTTTTCTTAATATAAGTATGAATATTTTGTTTGTGTTATGTATGAAAGATATAAAAGCTCAAGCTGTAAAAAAAACAACGTTACTAATGAACCAATATGTCAAACAAATAGAACAAATCAAATATAGTTTGTGGATAAAAAAAGTTATATATACTCAGCAGGAGTACAGCATACACAAAGGAAAGTTAATGTTCGAACGAGGGATATCCTATTTATGAAATATCTCTATATATTCATTGAATAATTATGTCGACATGTATATTCTTTTGTTCCGCTCTTCATCAACAACAACAAAAAGTGATAAATGTACATCATAGCAGACTTCTTTTAGTAAAGATAACATAAAACACATTGGACAATTTTTTCTATATACAAATACAAATATTATAAAAGTTATGAAATATGAATATTGAAAATGTGCTTGTAAGAGAAGATGCTGAGATATGTCTTACTTAAAGAGAAAAGCTATCCTTTGCATTTTGCTTGTTTTAGTACAGTAACTGAATTGATCACACAGTGAATCAACGATCGTTTTAATGCAAACTGAATTATTGACACAAAAATATTAGGCAATTTCAATAGAATTCATTTGTTCTCCATTAATATGCATTTATAAGAATCTCAGTCTTACCCGAACCAAGAGAATATATAAAATTTAGCTTTTCCCTACAAGTGAGAAAGAATCTCATTACAACAGTTTAACTTTCATCCATCATAACACAGAATCGATTATTCTTCAGACAGAGGTCTAAACAAGCGAATTATATTCTACGATAGACCACAGATCTGAGTTTATATCATGTATATTAATTGAAATTATGTACTGATTCAATATTTCCTATGGTAAGTTTTTCTCCTTATCTGTATTTCCGAAGAAGTAAGAAAGTTGAATTTGATCAGGAAAGATATCGTATGATATCTTCTGAGATGAAGTCCTGCAGCTTAGAAGTTTTTGTATTGTCTAGACCGTGGTCGAACGGGATTGGGATTGATTTTTTGCCAAGTATTTTAAAAACAAGCTTGATTTATTAGAAAAATAGAAAAAAAATATGTTTCGAAGCCTAAACAATCAAATTATAAGTGTAGAAAAAGAATAAATACGGAAGGCTGTATGTTTATTGATATTAAATACCGTTGTCAGTTATCTTCATGATTGGTTATTAGTTTCTTTGTTGCTGATATCGATTGTTTATCTACACTCAAGCTCTTTTTTTTTCGAGCCTCCATATAACTGGAAATAGGTAATATGGAAGCGAGAGTTCTCATTAGAATGCAAAACAAAGATCAGGATCGAAAGCAAAATGTTAATCCTGAGGGCTCTACTATCAGAGCTTCTTGTACACATACACATCGGATGGACAAACATGAGATGATGGTAAGACACAATGATCACTTTGAAGCAAGCCCTAGTAGTATTTCCTTAAAATTTCAAAGGCGTTTCACATTTGTTTAGCTATAACCAGAGCTGCTATCCCAACCACTTGTTCGAGGAGTATTTCGAGTGTGGAAAATATGCTTTCAATAAGCCCTCGCTGAGGGCTCCGCCCCTCGGAAAGTGAGACTTCGGATCCTCGATATAAGCGTTCGAGGGGTTATCGATTTCGAGTCCTCAGGTTTCAGATAGATACCGAGCCCTCGAGAAAAATCCCGATCCGTCGAACAGAGATGTTCGAGACTTCCGAGCCCTCATCGCATCCTCGGACGAGCGAGCCCTTCGAAGCATCAAAGATCGCACTCTCGGGCGGCGAGGGCTTGAAAATCCCGAACACCTCTGTTCGACGGCTCGGAATTTTTCTCGAGAGCTCGAAGTCGATAACTCCTCGAACACTTACGTCGAGGGTCTGAAGTCTCACTTTCCGAGGGGTGGAGCCCTCGGCGATAGCCTATTTTTCAGTATTCGCCGCACTCGTCGAACGGCTTTTTTCATCTGCACGGCGTGGAAAGAATTTTGGTTACTTTTCGTTTTTTTGCTCACAGTAGTTGAATCTGTGTGAAGGTGTTTTACTGGAAATAAATTCATATTTAATCTCGACGTCTCTGCAATTTCCTGTCTCTTACATAAGAGATTATTACCCATATTTTCGATTATACTTATAAGATACTCAGTCCATTATTTCGCAGCAATTCAAAAATACGACATGGAACGGATAATAATTTTCTGATTTGTTATCTATATACTACTCAAACAGAATTTGCAATTTTTCACCCAACATTCAAGACAAGCAGTGACACAAATTAGTTATACGCGCAATAGACTCTATAGGCATTAATCGTATAAAAGTCGCAGGGAATGTCTTTGTATCATTTATAATGAAAGGTTTTCAATGAACGCCTTCCATTAACGCTAGAAGATTCAATCAACTTGGGATATTGATAACTATTTCAACTGTTTTATTTAAGGAGCAATACACATGTCAACACTCTTGTGCTATTTCAGACAAGAGTCTTAACTCTTGTCATTTCAGACAAGATTCTTTCATTTTTTGTTCTCAGACAAGAGTCTTGTGTACAGAAACACAAAAGAAAAAAGGATTGTAATGAAGAGTCTTACAAGAGAATAATCTGTAACACTGAGGCAAGAGTCTTATCGAGATGTGCTTTACTTTCCTATTTCTATTGCTTTTTAGCTTGAGTGGATCCACGTCGTATTGAAGAGTGAACGTAGAAACTGTAGAAACTTTATACAGTATAAAGTTCAGAATTGTACCACTACAACTCAAACCCCAATGCTGTTGTTTACTCCTTTCGGAGAATTGTTTTGTGAAAGTGTAGACAGTTTCCGTCACTTTTCACACGTCGGTATTTATATGAATATTAAGTCCGACAGTGACTGACTTTTTTGTTGAATTTACAAAACCGCATTCTAACTGTTATAGGTACTCGTTGTTTTTCAGCATCTCGCCGTCGAGCGACTCGACTACGTGCTGTTCGTGAAAGAAACAATGCAGACTGGATGATCAATAACATCCCTGATTTAGATTGCGAAAAAACATTAGTCGCCACACCTACCGAGGATAATGTATGTAAAATATGTCATGCCAACACGGAATGTGTGCTATATATTCCAAAGCATTTTTTAGAATGACAATTTTGATTTTCCGTTGAATTATGACGTTTTCTCAACTACAAGATGAATTGTTTGGTATGATATTTTGGGTTTATTGTATTTAAAATGAAATCATAAAAGTACTTTGATGATTTCATTCATCATTTTCAACTCTCAAAAGAGGAGATTTCGAAATTGTCCTTGGTAATTGATTTTCTCTATTTCTCGTACATTATTTTGTATATATCATTTTATAGCTGGACTTGCCTATTTACACAAGTTAACCTACACCGAAGTGTGGGCTCGACAAAGTACCTTTCGTGATTCTCTATGTCAGATGAAATTCGATTTAGCCAAAAGTCTACTCATAAAACGTGGAATAAAAAGAAGTCATGTAGTAGTATCATTACAAGTTCAACGACAAACAGAAGAACAACAAAATCAAGGTTATGAAAATGATGATGAACAACAACAACTTTAGAACAACAATAAAGTTATTTTTCTTTTGTTTATTAATGTTTTTAAGTGCTTTTATACACCTAGATAATGCAGTTCTTGTTTCTTTATTGTTACAAAGTATTTTTATAAAAATTTTGTAATAAATATCTAATTCAACCTCATATAAATATGCAGAAAGCCTACAAGAACGAAAAAAGCACGAGTCATACCGGATTCACAAGAGAAGAATCTGGTCTGAATGTACAAGTCTTGACACTCTTGCCAAGAATCAGCCACATGACTCTTGTCTGAATTGGCAAGACTGACGATTCTGGTAAGAGTCTTTGTATATCATTTAATCTAACAAGAATTTTGGCTGAATTCACAAGATTCAAGACTCTTGCCTGAAATACGACAAGAGTGTTGACATGTGTAAAATTCGATCAAAATTAGAAACTGGCAAACAATAAAACTAAAGAAGCGGTTTGAATCATTTTAAATTTCCTACGATTCGATGATTCAAACCGCTGTTTTAGTTTTATTGTTCTTAATAAAAACTCTAACGATTACCAATGAAAATATTTAGCAACTAGCGACTTACCAACTACATTACTGCCAACAGGCGATGTCGCTTTATACGTAACAATGTGCATGATCTTCTTGCATATCTAAAATAATAAGTTTTTGATTATAAGTTTCAGGAATGGATAAATCAAACGAGTTATACATCCAGTTTGAAACAATACGTCGTTTCCAAGCATTCTCCTTCTGACAGGCAATACTCGAAAATCTGATTTATTATAGATTATATCCATTTGTAAGCGAATCCAACATAAGTGACGTGTATATATATATATACATATAAATCAGAATGCATCAAACTTTCTATTCCAGTACTGATAAAGTATACATTGATATTTATAAATTATTACTTGATTTGAATCAACTGACTTAAGATGAATTAAAACAGACTTACTTCTTCTATGTAACATAATATAATTTTCCTTTCAAATTTACAAAAAAACTGTACAGATCCACAACTGGAGGCACAAGTTTTTTGGAACAATATGATGTTTTGGGTTGCAAAGGCAAATTAACTGAAGTGGTTTAAATAAGTTAGACGCCAAAAGTTAAGTGCAAAACTCTATTATTAACGCAAAAACAGCCGTGTTGACTGTAGAGATTTTAATGCTTAACTTTACGTCTAACTTTTCTCGATCAACGGAAGCTTGTCGAATCGACCTTATTGAAAGAGATTATTGTTACCATGTTACCAGTTCATATAATTCATAAGATTTGGTTTATCACTATTATCAACTTATCAGAATTAGAAATGCTACGATCAGACAGTGCGATATACGATCTTTGGTCAAGTTATCGATTAATCACAGATCAACTCATCTGCAAAATGAAATAATGTGAGAAATAAAACTAGAGAATCAGAAGCACTTTTTCATGTTTAGCAGCTAGCAAAGTACGAAACGTTCTCAGTGTTGTCGGCCTTTTGCTAAATCTAGATAATCAGCTAGCATAAATAAAAGTCTAGACTTTTTCGAGTTATGAAATAAAACACTTCTATTTTTTCGATATCTTTGAAAAAATATCGGCTATTTATGTAAGTTTGCCAATAAATTATTTCGTGTTTTGCTTACTTGTCGCAAGGACCGTGAAACGAGTACTAAGACGTTGAAAAAGTTTAGTCTCACGCATTACCAGTTTAGTCACTTGGATTCTCAATATTGGTTCTTCTACAAATCGATTAGCTCGCTGATGGTAGCGCGGTGCGTACCATGAGAGTGGTAGTGTTACGGAGGTAATTAATCCTTAGAAATAACGTCGGAAATTCGAAAATTCAGCAGGATTTTATTTTTGCCTTTTTTTTAGATAGCTGGATAGAGCTCTTCGATATGGAGAAGAAAATATATATTTTAATGTTTGAAGAAATTATTTTCATGTCCAAAACTTGAAAAACTTCGAGGGGTCTAAAAGTTCGAATAACCCTTTAGTTTCAAAAAAAACTTTAACAAACCTATATAGTTTTTTGTGAAGAGTGAAGCCGATTTTTGTACTTCATGGAAACGGCATTGAACGAGCTTTAAAAGTATAATCGCTTCTTTTTATTATTGTTTTGTCACTAAGAAAATTCTTTTTGTTTCTAGATCAGGAACGAAAAAATCGGAATTCTGCCTGTAATTCGCAGTTTTCTCCATCAGAACTCTCCGTTTATGCAATAAAAATATCATATTCGAAATCAGGGTCAAAAAACTGAGTCGAATGATACCCTTTTTTATGCTATCCGACTAGTTTGAGTTTTGTTGGGATTTTCACGTCAAAAAACTACTGAGATTTTCGCCCAAAATGAAAATCAACGAAAAATTTTAAAATATATATTATTCTACTCAGTTTTTGATGTTTTCTCCGAATATGATATTTTTATTGCATAAAAGGTGAATTCTAATGGCGGAAACTTTGAATCATGGGTAGAATTCTGATATTTTTTAAACTGAAAAGTTGTTCGAAATTTTAGATTCCTCGAACTTTCTCAATTTTTGCACATGAAAATAATTTTTTCAAACATTAAAACACATTTTCTTCTCCAGATCGACGAGCTCTATCCAACCATGTATAAACCATGCAAAAATAAAAGCCTGCTGAATTTTCGAATTTCCTGCACCTTACTCTCAATTTCTCATTCTGTGCTGTGCACTAAGAAAGACATACTCTCCCGATTCATAGATTTGACTTATTATTCCTCTTCTCTCCGATTCGTCTAATATTAAGTCAGAAATATCATGACGTGGCACTGTTGAGTTTGAAAGTAGTTATTACTTTTAACCATTTTAACTCAGTGCGCAAACTATCCCGATATTCTTTGATTCTAAACCGTGTCAATTTCCGCTCATATTTGAGCGAACAACGGTACAGTTGAACAATTGTATCTGACAGAATCCTGTCGTTATAATGCATCGCTACTGTACCACTGTTTGCTCAAATTTTAGCGGAAACTGACTCCGTTTAGAATCACAGAATATAGGGGTAGTTTGCACACTGAGTTAAAATGGTTAAAATAGTTATAACGATTTTAAACTTACCAGTGGAACACAATAACTATTTAGTTGATTTGTCTGAATCAAGGTAATTTGTTCCTTTTATATTTTTAGTATCCCTCCCTACTTTTGGACATATATGCTATATTTTTCTCCTTCCTAAATTTATTGTATTGTTGTACTCAAGGTACATATGAATCGCTTGCATATTTTCTTTTATTCAAATACAAAACCATTCAGCTATTTGTTTGACTATTCAATACGATATCTTCCTGTCTGTACTATAGACGGAATTATTTATGGACTAAACTCTATCTGAGACGAACATATATATTTATGGATGTGAAATTTATTGGAAAAAAAATTCACATATCATGTTAAAACATTGAGATCTGAACAGATATATAGAAACTAAATTATTGCAGAACATATCCCGATCTACTCGTCTGTTGAACATGACAAACAATGATGAATTTCAATTATTATTTATTGCGTTGTCTGTGTACGTTTGCTATTAAATGTAGAGCAGTATTGGTCCCACCCATATAGAATTTTGCAATAAAACGAAACATAGAATGTAGAAATAATTCAGTTTCTACTTCTGTCCAATATTCAATCATACATATGTATATATATATATCAGTTCAACTGAGATGAGCTTGTTTCTTTTCAAATAGTTTTCACGTATAAACAAGTTGCAATACTTTATATCTCAGACTTCTAAAGACGAGGAAAAAAAATATCTGCTAGTTTCTGTCAATTCAATCAGATGAGTTGAATGACACTATCTGTTTGGCAAAAAACGTTTCGACTTTTTTTCTACTTCCTGAACGTTCCACCCAGAAAAACCGACAAAGGACGAAAACGTTTCCGTCAAACAGATAGTGTCATTCAACCCAGCTGACTGATATGACCGAAACTACCGAATTTTTTTTTCCTCGCCTTTTGAATATAGGAGCAAAATTAACTATTGCAAGTCGCCTATTGCGTTCTTTTCTATTTCATGTCCTTTTAGATGTTAATTCTCTCAAAAGGGAATATTTCATCAATGGAATGAACATCAATATTCCTATTTTTATTGATCTAATCTGATAACCGTTTAAAGCGAAACAGTTTGAATCATGTCAATGTTAGTCGATACGATAATTGTTATGCTTTCTCAAGTAAGATTTGTTAGTCAAAACGAAAAATCAAATCGTAGTTCGTGTATCTTATTCAGGCTGTATTTTTCGTTGGCGGTTGGCTATTTTTTATTCAACAATTGTGTCGAAACTATGACGTAAGCGAAGAAATATAATTTAATAGATTTATAAATAAATACGTTATTATTTACATTTTAGGTCCACCATCGAATGGTCATACTCTCATTTTCTATCACGTTTGCTTTAAGCTTGTCAATGTTTGAATTAATTATATTTGAAATTCTTGGTTTATTACACCCATCGTAAGTTTGGCTTATTATATTCTTTAACGAACTCGGAATTTAGTATTTGTCTGTGTTATGTGCCTCTGCTTCTTTTTGCTTCAAACTATGGAAAGTGATGTTGTGTAAATAATTGGCTATATTAGCTCAAAACTTATTTGTTTCTGTTTTTTTCTCAGCTCAAGATTTTTACACTGGCGAATTGGGTTATATTCTATGTTATTCTTACTAGTGTTTTTAATACCATTCTATATCGCTTATATGTTATTAAATACTGTCAAAATAAGTATGTGTGCTTTATTCTTATAAGTTATTTTTGAAAGTTTTTATTATCTCTTTTTATTTTCATTTTTTCTTTAGTTCGTGATTTTCGTATGGTTTTATTGTTTACATTGATTGCGTGGTTTTTTTATTTGTATTTATTCTGGAAATTAGGTGATCCATTTCCCATATTAAGTACTCATCATGGTGAACTATTTACAATGGAACAATGTATTAGTCGTGTGGGTATTATCGGCGTTACAGCCATGGCTATTCTATCTGGATTTGGTGCTGTTAATTGTCCGTATACATATATGACTTATTTTATTAAACCTGTTACATATAAAGACATTACAGATGCCCAAAAACGTTTACGACAAATAATGGAAATTGTTGCAGCGAAGAAGAAACGAATCGCCTATATTGAATATGAAAATTCAATAAAAACAACATTTGCATCATCATTAAAATGGATATATCTACGTGGTCGTCCATCGAATTCAAATTCTAATTTGGTAAAAGATTCTTATAATGTATCAATAATTAAGCAAGATATATCGACGTATGAAGAAATTAGTGCACAATTATACAGTGAATTAGTGGATCTACAAGCAGTACAAGAACGAATTGAATATTCGAAAACATTGAAAGGAAAATATTTTCATGTATTGGGACATTTTTTTTCAGTTTATTGTTTATGGAAAATTCTAATATCATTTATTAATATTATTTTTAATCGTGTCGGAAAAGTAGATCCAGTTACACGCGGTATCTTGTTGACCGTGCACTATTTTAATATTCAATTTGATGTACAATTTTGGTCACAGTACGTTTCATTTATCTTAATTGGAATTATTGTTATCACATCGATAAGAGGATTATTAATTACATTAAAAAAAGTATGTAAATGAAAAATTCATAGATCGTATAGAAGCACAAGAAACTGGTAGAATTAAGAAGCGTTAACATACCGCTAGCAGAGTTATCTAGCCAAATCGCTATGTCATTTCATCACGTTTTTTTTGCATCTTATTTCTACTAAAACTTTCGAATGAAGACACGTTCAAAACTTTGTAAAATCTTAAATTGAAGAGAAAGTACGCTGAACAATGAATGAGACGTTTTCCTACTCGACACGCTCTTTCGTTTAAGAAATATGACAGGAATACAAACACAATCTCATATTGTTCAACATACTTTTTTCTTCAATTTAAGATTTTGCAGAGCTTTGTACGTGTTCTCATTCGAAAGTTTTAGAAGAAATAAAATGCAAAAATATCGTGACGGAATGACATATGGCTAACAGCATTTTTTGCTGTATTTGACTTTGAAAAATCTGAATTATTCTGAATTTTCATCGATTAGCGCATAGCTAACCGATATTGACTATCCAAATCGTTGTTGTTAAGATCATTTTCTCAACGAAGCTGAAGTTCTTCAAAGAGTCAACGTCTTTAACTATGTTTGATTATTTATTTCTTTATTTTAGTTTTTTTACGTTATATCCAGCACTCGTTCGTCGAATGTAATCGTTTTATGTCTCGCAGAAGTAATGGTAAGAGTTAACTGATCATTTATTATGTAAAGTTTTTCAAACATGTTTTGTTATACTACTAGGGCATGTATTTTATATCTTCTGTACTTTTAATTCGTATGAATATGCCGGCTCAATACAGGTTTGTTATATAAAATAGTTAAATTTCTTTATATTTTAGTTTTTCAATAATACTTTGTTTATTTTAGACAAATAATTACTAAAGTTTTGGGTGATCTTCAATTTCACTTTTATCATCGATGGTTCGATTGCATATTTTTAATTAGTGCATTTTTCAGTATTGGCATTTTATATTTACATTATCGATTAGCTCAACAATCTCTCAGCTTATATGACAAAAATATTCAAAAGATATACTCTTGATATTTGTACAAAAGCAACTTTACTTTTCAATAGAAACAAGAAGAGATACAAGTTGCTGATGTTCTATTATAAAATACATTCACAGTATGACGTACAAAAGTAAATGAGAATGGATTTAAATTCTACGAAGATCTTCCGTATTGTTAATATTATTATTATTTTCACTATTGTAATCGCTAAATTTGATTTTTGTTATCGTTAATGAAGAAAAACATCTGCTAGTCTATTGTGATTTATTTTGATTTTTATATTGTTTATTTACCTTCGTCAGAATGCATATAGTCTTCTAAATATTGTTTTGCGATCACACATCACTTGTTTGTTTGTACAGTAGAAAGGAGAACATGTTTATTTTTATTCTGTTTTTGTTTTCTCTCACATCGAAATCTTAAAAAAACAATACACTTCACAAAAAAAAGTTCCGATTTTATGTTTTTACCATAGTAGTCATCATCAAAAATTTCAAGTAACTCCATTCATCAATTAAAATTTTTTTTATCGTATAAATAAACTCTGATATTATCTGAAAAAAGTAAATTATTGAACTTAATTATTCATAGTTTTCGTTTAATTTCTTATCGATTATCATTGAGCTGTACAATAAATATACTATTATTCTGGGTCACAGAAAAAAAATTTGAAAAAAACTAAAAGAATTTGATTTGGTTCTAAAAAGTAGATGTGGGTAAGACTAAAAAAAGTGTTACTTTTCTTCTAGCTGCCAATAAAATACCCTGAAAATTTTCATTTTTTCTCATTAAATAAATCATACCACATACGTTCGACCAGATATCTCGTTTGTTGTTTACCATTTTGTCTATCTCGTTGCTGTTCTACTTCTGAAATGCAACATTTTTTCTTACAAAATTTTGAATGAGTTGTACACAAGTATCTAGTGCGTGTTGGAGAACAACAAGTACTCGGTGACAAAAGTCCACCACATTTACTATGAGGCATTGCGCACGATTTTTTCGATCTAAAACACGCAAAGAACGTTCAGAAGACGGTAGATAAGAGTTATGAGAGAACAAATGAATGTATACTTACAATGCTACATCAATTAGTAACATGAGTGAAATTAGAATTACAAATTTTTTCATAATTTGTACTTATCGAAAAATAATACAAATCTAAAATCAATAAAAAATGAAAAATAATTTTTAACAAACATTTAGCTTCGATTCATCTCATATGAAATTTTTATTCTTAATTCATCTCTTCTTAATTCGTTTCATATATTCCTCATTTATGATCGACAAGTTCTTTAAATTTACTATCAATACCACTGTATAATTTTTTTCTTTTGCGTGTTTGTGGAACGAATCAATAAGGAACGATTTAAGAAAAATTTTGATGGGTCGGATAGAGAAGATATCTGTTTTATCAAACAAAAATACCATTCGATAAATAGAAAACATTCAACTTCAATCTTTACAGTTTCAAAGAGGCTAAGAATGTTTTTCATGACTTGAACGGCTTTTTTCAGCATAAATCAGTTCTCATTTTAATAGAAATGGCCATGTGTCAAAGGATTACTTCATAATAAATTACAGATATTAGCCATTTTTTACCTTGAGCCGATTTTTATGTATATTTACTAGAACAATAATAGTAAAAGATACAAGCGACAAACATTTGTCTTATTCAGCTAGCGCACACCTTTAACAAAAAACAAAATATAGATATATGTATATATCGATCATATCTACGTATAGCCAGAATTACAAATAGAAGCCGAACATCAGGGGGAGTGTAAAACAACATTTCTCTCTCTGAGGTAGTATAAAAGAAATTAATAAAAAAAAATTTTGTGTTCGAGGATTAATGGATAAAATAACAACAGCTTTTTCAATTATTCGGGGGGGGGGGGGGCGCCCCGCCCCCGCCCCCAGCCACCGGTTTTTTGCGCCCGGNCCCCCCCCCCCCCCCCCCCCCCCCCCCCCCCCCCCCCCCCCCCCCCCCACCCCCCCCCCCCCCCCCCCCCCCCCCCCCCCCCCCCCCCCCCCCCCCCCCCCGGCACGCACCCTCCCACATCCTCCCGTTATTTGCGGCCCTGCGTATAGCGTAAAATATTTAACTGATGCGTACGTAACTCATAATGTGCAATTACACATGGATTGGATCACTGTTTTTGAGCCACCGATCCCGTAAAAATTAAAAAACTTAGTCCCAGTCTCGGTCAGACAAAATCTCTCGCAGAACTAACGGCTAATCTTTACTTGAGTTGCTTGCGGCTGTTTCATAGATTAAGCGAAATTTTTCAACAGGAATTTTAGTTGCAACCTGATCAATAGCCTTGTTTTGTATGAAACTCGTGTGTTTTGCAATTCTAATGTTCATTAAACTTTAAATGAACTAGTACAGGGAAGAGATAGAGAAAATATATCTTTTTAATACAGCAGCATTCATAATAATTTTTTTAATTTAATTATTATTTAATTAAAATATTCGACGTTTCGGAAATTATTATGAAGGCTGCTGTATTAAAAATATATATTCTCACAAGATTACTGACTCTAAATAGAAGTAAAGAGAAAGAGAACGCATACAATGTAAAGTGAAATACTTGTTTTATTCTTCATTTTTGAAAGATGTCTTTAAAAGAACGTTCAGCTGGATATGTAAATACAGGCAATTTTTCAACAAAATTTTTATCGGATTGCTAAGAAAATTTTTGGTCCCATTGGGACTCGAATCGGAATCGTTCCCACAAAGCTAGCTACAATTGATTTATCCAGAGTAAGCAAAATACTAAAGAACTTTAAAGCAAAAGAAACCTTTTCATCCATGTGAAAGTAAAAGAAAATTTAGTGAGAAGAAAAATCTATACTAATTTCGATTAAGACGGCTGAATACGTTTTCAAAACTTATAGACAAACTTTTGCTATGCTAAGAAGTCAGCTATATTTTTAAAGTGTACACTGTGGGTTATACGATCGCATGCTTCTCTCGATGTTGACGTTTTACCGAAATTTTACTTGAAGTGTGTGGCATAATGACCGCTCTATGCAGTTCTCACCGTAATATTTCTGTTATTGAACATAGATTAGAAATCGCGGTGACAGGCTCAAAATGTCTTCTTGCAGTAGAAGTGAGATATTCCAGATTTTACAGTATTCGAACTACTGATTATTTACTAACGAATTACAGTATTCAACGGATTCTGACTGACGATTAGATGGATCGCACAATCTCCTCAAATATTTTTCGTAGAAAGTAGGTAAAATAATTGGGCTCAGACAGAAACAGAAAAAAAGTAACGCTTACTTTTCTTTTTGCTGTGACAAGTATAAGAATTAACAAAAATCACATTTTCTTTTACATTAAATTTCTAGCCGGACGATTGAATATACGAAAAATTTCAAAGTCCAAAATACATTTTTCTTCCATTTGTGGCGCTTATAGCATCGAATGTGGACCTTTATTTGAGAGAAAAATGTGCATTGATCAATCTCTAATGTCGGGAGAACCCATGTTGTCGAAATCGGACGACCACCAGTTTAAGAACCGATGGTTAACCACAAATTGAGGAGAGGGGATGAATGCGATAGAATAGTAATAGCGACCGCCTTCTACAAACTTGAAACAATAAACAAACAAATTTTTTTTTTGCGAGCTGCACGATCGTCCTTAGCTTTTGTCGAAATCTTCTCGGGCAAACCATACCATTGATTTCTGGATGATTATCCTTCTTTCAGATTCTATTCTACCGTCGTTTTGTCTGTTTCTTTTCATTTGAGCTACACAGAAAATTTAGCAGTAGAAGCGGAGTTCGAGATTGTGAGATGTAATTATTTTGTTTGATCTTCAAGTTTTGCCGTTTAGCTTTTTTAGGCTATAAGACCGTTAGAAGAAAATAAGCTTACCAGCGCATAGTGTTTTGAGATTCATTTGTCAAATGTGTCTTCTAATCTAATTTATTTGTTCCATTTGAAGGCTTTTTGAATTCACATTTCTGAAAAGATTCATTTACGAGAATGTTGCTTCAGATCA